TACTTTCACTTTCCTTCTATGGTTTAAAATTAACTTTTATTGATTTTACGCTTCAATCTTTAATAGTCTTAGACAAATAAAGTAATAATAATTTTGTTATTTATTTTTGGGGGTGAGCCCGCACATTCTTAATGAAGATATTCTTTACCTTATTAAGGAAGATATGCTTTACCTTATTAAGGAAGATATGCTTTACCTTATTAAGGAAGATATTCTTTAGATATTTTTCACCTTATTAAGGAAGATATTCTTTACCTTATTAAGGAAGATATTCTTTACCTTATTAAGGAAGATATTCTTTACCTTATTAAGGAAGATATTCTTTACCTTATTAAGGAAGATATTCTTTACCTTATTAAGGAAGATATTTTTTTATGGCTTGAGACTATTTGTGAACGATCTAATCGGCTCCTTGTGGCTTCTTTGCGGGTTCTTTAGAACCTCTCCTCTCTGGTTAGTTGTGCATTGCGAAGGGCCTGTCACGGAAAAAGGCATGCACGCAAAAGGAACCCTTGACAATTGGAATTCGAAGAAGATTAGACGGAAACGCTGCTGTTCGAACAAAAATTCACCCATAACCCGCAGATGGTATATGTCCGTCTTTATCTACCCGGTTGGTGCAGAAAAGTAGGACGTTAAACCCTATTTTATTTCATTTCTCCCCTGAAGTTCCTTGTTATAGCCTATACTATCAGTTTGTTACAATGACCCCTAGCGTGGATTAATTAACAGGCCTGACTTTTTCCCCGAGAATTAAACGAATTTATTAATTCCAATATGAACACAACCTGTCTAACCAATATGTATGGGTTTAATAATTTATAATTTTACCTCGGCCTTCTACAACTTTATTTCCTCTTAGTGGATATTTGATTCTAGACCGGAAGTACATCTTCGATCAGCTAGTAATACAAAAGTGATATCCCTAGTCTTACCAAGGTAGTTAGGAAGTGGACAAATCATACTGTACAGGCAATTTAAAAGAGCATTATTATGTGAAATGAAATGAAATGAAATGGGGTTTAACATCCAACTGTTCTGCTCCGCCTTGGCTAATGAAGACCGGCATACGCCATACAGTGTGCTATAAGGGAATTGTGTCCGGACAGCGGCGCTACGGGCTACTCTTATATCGAATTCCAACTGCCAAGGGATCTTTTACGGGCACAAGAATGTGTACACGTGACCTTGGTTTTTAGTCCCATCCGAACTACTAGACAGCTGTTTTTGTCAGGCCCTCCGTCCTGCACCACTGACAAGGGGAATCAACCACGCCAGAACTTTCTTGGCCAACACCGTGAGCGAACCCGCAACCCCCAGGCTAGCGAGCCAGTGTCTTATTCACTTAGCCACCGTGGCTCCCAAAAGCATATGTAATAGTCTCGCGTCCATGTTGGTATTCGGTAGACTTGTGATTACAATCCATGTACTAAAACGACGTCATCAACATATCTCTCACTATCACATTCTCCAATCCAGATGGGGGGGGGGGGTGAATGGCCGAATGATTAGCACGTGCGCGCTGTATCATAAGGTCTGTCATTGAGTCAACTGGCGTGGTTCGATTGCCCGGTTGTACGTGAAAAGGAGTAGGGTCGCCTGTCAAATCTCGTGGGCTTCCTCCGGGTTCTTCGGTTTCCCCCCACTGCTAAAGACCCCTAAGCACAAGCGAATTATTGAAATAAAAAATTGAACGATAAGTTAGTCCCGAACGAAATGATCCAGTTTGTGTCGAGTGGACGTTACCCCCCTCTCTCTCTCTCTCTTTCTCTCCAACCCAGACGATGATTCGTCACCGCTCACTATCCTCTGATTTGTATATTGAGACTGCACAGCCAACCAACCAATCACTGCTATTCATTATGTGGTCGTGCGAAATGGAAGTATCGGTTCATAAACAAATTAATCAGAAACCACCTGCTTTAACAATGACGTCATGAAAGAATTTCCGCAACCAGCAATGTTATATTGTCTAATTACAGTAGTCCCTCCGTTAATTTGTCGGTGGTCCAACACGTTTTCGAATGGAGGCGAAACTGTCCAATTGTCCAATTCAAGCCATTGATTTTCATCTTAAAAATATTCCTCTATGAAGAGTGAATACAATACCCGACCTGCCAGTGATACTCACCACTGCAGCGTTGAATGAAATAGCCGAATAGGCCAAATACTGAAAAACTAAAGAATTGTAGGTATATTATTTTATTCAAAAAAGATTATAATGATGAAAGATGCAATGGATAAAAAAATGACATTTGGCAAAAATTTAAAGAATATACAAAATAAATGTTAAGCCTTCAAGCAATCAAATTCATATATTAACGTGTAGAAATTTGACAAAAAATTAATAGAGATGTACAAAATACAATGAAACTTCCCGGAGCAATCAAATGCATAATTATAATAGCGTTTAGAATTTCTGTCATATATAAAATAAACATCGATTTATCTCATGACATTGACATTATAAAACACAAAATTATTACATCTACATGAAATTATTAATGGGATATTTTCGAAAGACAGGCATTAAAGGACGTAAAGCTTTAACTCAACATTATCCACGGTCTTCTCAACATTACAAACAATATTGGTGCATTTGAATCTACGTTGATGTTGTAATCTTACCGTAAAAATATGGTCTCCTTGTATCAGATATTTAAGAAACAGTGAACAATTTTAAAACAAGTACACAACGGCGTGTACTCTGTGTAGGGTGTCTTGGTGACCGAGGGAAAACATAAGTGTGTAAGTGAAATGTCAAACTGTAGTTCCTATGTAGACTAGACCAACCAGGCACGAGCAACTGCCATCAATTTAGACTGCTCGCGTATTTTGACGAACAAATCTGATTAGAAATTACATTTTCTATACACTAATATTGTATAAATATGTACTTTCGGACCCATTTTCTTCCATTTTAGGTTCTAAAGAATATAGATTTATCCACTCTAATCCTATTCTGCCTTCATTAATTGTCTGAATTATTTCTGTTCACTTAGAAGTTTTTTTACAATTTACAAAAAAATAATGAGGCAAAGATTCATGGTTTATCGTAGGGCATAATCTTTAAGTGGCATTTAGCGATTGGCAAACACATTAACAGAACACAGTTTTTATGTGAAACAATCACTGGTTTATTCTCAAAGCACGACGTTTCGACAAGTATCCTCTTATCGTTATCAAGCACAATGACATTTAGTAAACTTAGGATTTACAGAGATTAAATAACAAAACAATAAGAGTAAAAGATAAACAAAAAAACAAACAAGATGAAAGGCTTATTAATCTTTGTAAATGGCTTCACCATTGTTACATAGTGTGAGAGACAGTGATAGGTAAAAGATTATAATTATCCTATGACCGCATGAGTAATAAACTCTCCACTGTTCTCTAATTGACCACACTATTGTTCATTTAATAAAGAACCAGATGCTGCCATATGTATAATGGTCAAGTTAGATAATCCGCTGATCACTAATGACGTTTACTAGCGTTAGCTGTCACACATCAATTGTTCTGAAGCCTGCCATATGCTTATAGTGAGATAATCTATCAATGACAAATGATTTAATTATGTAGTCTTTACATAAGTCCTTTTGTTCCATATTATTAATTACCCGTGTTATCAAAGTGAATTTAGTATAAATTGGCTTTGGTTTTTCATGTAAATCAGACCAGCTTTGGCGGCTGACCAGGTACGACTTTATAGTATATCTAGTATGCTAGAATAAAATGTTGCATCCAGATCATGTTTTATTTCTGCTCTGACCGAGATGGTGTCGGCGAAGACCGAGGGCGAAATTACGCTACAAGGAGAAGATATTAGCTCCACACCACCAAAAGAAAAGTTAATTTATCCTACGTTAACTTTGTCGTAAGAGGAAGAAAATTGATACAAATGATATACGGAACAAACTGGCTGTTCCAGTTATAGGAAATATAAATAGTTCCTGTTGAATCAACGTTGAACGGGCCTGTATATAGAAGATCTGAATAGATGTGCCGATAATTTTGTGGATCCTGTTGTTGCTGTTGTGTGTGTTTTATTTTATTCCGTGGATAATTAGTGTACACTGTGAACTATTAATGTGTTAAAATTGGATCATCATTATAACAATTTTTCAGAGGAACTTTTCAAATAATTTTATATATATATATATATATATTATTTTTTTATATCCATTAAGGATAGGGTGATTATATTTTTTTTTTGTTTCACAAACTGTTGGCAATGGAGGTAATATAAGCGCTGATTACAATTCCAACAAATTATATATGATTTCGAATTGTAATGAGATTGATTTGGGTAATTATTAGAATTGAACCTAAATTGATTTGGTTGACTATTAAAATTTGACCTGACTTTACTTGCACTATTGTCATACTTTCTTTTATTAGAGATTGTATTAATAGTTGCTGCAGAACGACATTCATGGGTTTTATGACCATGTTTATTACAATTTAAACATTTTCGCATAGGTCTTAAATGATCTACTTCCATGGGTTCGTGACAGTGATCTGAAATATCTGGATTCATCCTTAATGCAAATCGTTCTTGTAAATTTTGTTCCGTCATTGCCAAAACAGTTGCCTCTTGTAACGTAGCAGGATTTTCTCTCATTAATTTCATTTTTAATTGAACATTGCCTATTCCAGTTATAAAACAACCTACTAATTGTCGTTGTATTGGTACTAACACAATTTCTTGTGCATTGTATGCTTTTTTAGCTAAATCTAATAATCTCTCAGCAAATATCTGAACATTCTCGTATCTACCTTGACGGGCGTTTTGTAAAACTACTAAATCATACTGAGGGTCAGCAACTGAACCATATCTGTTCGATAGTTCTTTTTTTAATTGTTCCCAAGTACAATTTGGATTGTCGGCCAAATGTCTACTTAAAAAGTCACTAACAGAACCTTTACTGGATTGATAAGCGATTAATTTCACTTTTTCAATGGCAATTTCAGCTAAAATTGCATATTTCTCTATGCTTTTTATCCAAGTTTCAAAATTTTGTCTTTCCCCTGAATATGTTTCGACTAACTGAGAAACGCCATGGTGTTTTAAAGTAGTTGACAAGCCTTTTAACTCCCCAGTTAAACCTTGAAATAGCGCAGAAACATCTCCTTGTTCAGCCATTTTTACGAAAAATAACAAATAACAAAGCTAACGTACCTTTCTGACTTTGACTGGTTCTGTACTTGGTTCAAACTGGAGAGAATTCGGCTGCCACTACTCTATTCTGTATCTTTCATACAACCACAGTTGTTCGCTGGACACGGTCCCCAAATTATGATTATAACATAGTTTGAGTTAATAGAAATAAAACATGATCTGGATGCAACATTTTATTTCTATTAACTCAAACTATGTTATACCATGCAACTCCTATATATTCATCCTAAGTTTACTAAATGTCATTGTGCTTGATAACGATAAGAGGATACTTGTCGAAACGTCGTGCTTTTAGAATAAACCAGTGATTGTTTCACATAAAAACTGTGTTCTGTTAATTTATCGTAGGACACGATTGTATCATAGACTATAATACATAAATAATGTAAATAAAACAAATATATCCTCCGGAATTATTTACAGGCACAGCCGTGGCCACATTTACAGTTGGACGTACCAGTGCATCCCGATCCACAGGTACAGTTGTCTGAAAATATGTACAAAACATACATTATGCTTTTGGGGCATTTGCGCAAGAACAACCCACCAGTGGAGATTGCTATTTAATTTGAAATGATTTGGATTGGAAGTTGTTAATTTTAACTAAGATAAAATCCAAATTTTAGTAATTTGATTGGATAATATTAGATTGATTTTAGTGCTTAGCCAATCAAAATTGAAGTATCTACTAAAATTTGGATTTTATCTTTAGTTAAAATTTCGTGAAACAGGGCCCTGATAGCAGACAGCCGGGGATGGAAATTGTTATTTAATTTGAACTGATTTGGATTGGAAGTTGTTAACATGATGACAGAAAGTGGAAGATAAAAAAGTATTATTTGATTTGAAATGATTTGGATTCTAAGCTGTTAACATGCATGGTGGCATACAGCCGGAAATGGAGATTTGATTGAAGAGGGCACATAGAGGACCAGAAGAAGCCATTTGTTTTTTGTGGGTTTTTTTATGGTTGAATATTATGTTGTAGCAATTTTAGCTACGTACTGTAAACAGGCTATCAAAGGGTGACTGTTTAAATCATTTAAATCATGCTAAGTTAGGACACCGTTCACTAATATATATATATATATATATATATATATATATATTTATATATATAAAAACTCAGGGGTCACAATGGCAAGGTGAATAAGGCGCTATCTCACCAACATGGAGGTCCTGGATTAGATCCTGATGTTGGCCGAGGACGTTCCTCGGGATTGTCCAGCCTGATTTCTTCTAGTCAGTGGTGAAGAACAGGAGGTGGTGGGGTGAATGCTTGAAATGTAAGATCGTCTAGACGTTCAGATGGGACGAAAAGCCAAGGTGCTTGTATACATTGGGGTGCAAAGAGAACGTTAAAACCACATTTGAAAAAATTAATCTGTTGTTGACTTACCTTTTGTACATTTACAGGAATCGGACATAGTAGTACAACATGTAGACGTGGTACCAGTTTTACAACAATCTGTTTCTGTTGTACAGCAATCTTTATCTGCACAACAATCAGTCTCACCTTCACAACCTAATCAAAATATTATTATCTTACAGTCAATTTTAAAATAATACACGTGGGTGGGTTTAATTGTAGCTGGGAGCCACGGTGGCTAAGTGAGAAAGGCGCTGGCTCGCTAGTCTTGGGGTCGGGGTTCGACCCCAGTGTTGGCCGGGGAAGTTCATCGGGGTTTTCCGACGTGGTTTGCCCTTGTCAGTGGTGCAGGGCAGAGTGACGAAAAACCGAGGTCCCGTGTACATATTGATATGCGCGTAAAAGATCTTTTGGCAGTTGAAATTCGATATGAGTAGACCGTAGCCGGGCTGTCCGGGCAGAATTTCTCTCAGAGCACGCTGTATACACAGTCTTCATTAGCCCAGTTGGAGCAGAACGGTTGGACGTTGCACACCTTTTCATTTCATTTAAAGGACAATATTGGTGCCAGTCATTATCACATATATGATAGAACTGGTTAAACACGTTCCAAATATTATTTTTTCACAGAGATCATTGCTACGATATATGAGTAATCAATGTTTCAACAATAGGAAGTGACGAACGCAAAAGGAAAACACGAGTTATCCCTATATAAAACTGGCTGAAGTGACGCGTGATAACAGATACATGGGCAAATTTCTGCTCACTAAAAATTCGTTCGAAGATCAAAAGTTGTTATATGAGACTGTAAGAGTATATCTGACAATTCAAAAAAGTAATTGAATGTCATTAGATAAGAGAACACGAGAAAAATAGAAACAGTCCGTACATTCACGGGTGTTTATTCATTCTATACTTATAAAAACATGGTAATGCACGACTTTTTCTATTTTTCTTTCATGTTCTCTTATCTAGTGACAGTCAATTTTGTTTATGAATTGTCAGATATCCTTTCACAGTCCCATACAACAACTTTTGGTCTTCGAAGGAATTATTAGTGAGCAGAAATTCGCCCATGTATCTGTTATCACCCGTCACTTCAGCCAGTTTTATAGAGGGATAACTCGTGTTTTCCTTTTGCGTTCGTCACTTCCTATTGTTGAAACATTGGTTACTCATCTATCGTAGCAATGATCTCTGTGAAAAAATAATATTTGGAACGTGTTTAACCAGTTCTATCACATATGTGATAATGACTGGCACCAATATTGTCCTTTAATTGCAGCTACAATGGCCTCAGTATCCTGTCAAATATACCATACACAAAACAATATTAAAATGTACTCACATGTAGCTTTATCAGACATCGCTGTAGGAAATGTATAATTCACGTTCCAGGAATTAACTCCAAATTGTTTCAACAACAGAATCTATAAAATTGTCGGTTTTGACCCGAGTTTATAAACTAACTTTGCACACGAACCTCATCCGCGTCTATTGGCTGTGTTCACATTAACCCCCTTATGTTCACACCAGTGTTTATTTACACTTGAGTTATCCAATGGTTGGCCTTTGTCTAAATTATGACATAATATTATTTTAATGTCATACCATATTTCCGTGTAAAAATACGACCAAAAAAGTGTTAAATTTGGCACGTTTTGTTAACAACTGACAGGCGCCATCTTAAATATTTAGAATAATGCAAAAAATATTCCTAACTTTAGATTACAGATCCGATATAAGAGTACATCATAGTGCCACTGTCCGGACAAAATTTCCCTCATATCACACTGTATGGCGTATACCCGTCTTCATTAGCCCAGTCGAAGCAGAACAGTAGGACGTTAAACCACATTTTATTTCATTTCCTTTTTTCCTTTTTTTAATTCATATTATTAGGATTATTTTATTCTATTGAGAATAGCATTATACATTGTGTTTTTGTAAAAAAATAAGTTCCGTATAGTGTCCAATCGGGTACCGAGACAAACCACGATACCGAAATATTGCTGTTATTCTTAAACGTATACAGCTTATGTTTTATTCCTATATATGTGGAGATCTAAATTATTTCAAGCTTTTTAATCCTAAAAGGTAAAGAAAATAAATGATGTTATTTGATCGTTGTGGTTGGTGAATTTGGCTCGAAACTGCTGCAATATTAACAGACCTACGTCACCAGAACATGTGGACCGAACATTTGATTCGGCGTGTATCATGAAATCAATGGCAGATGAAAGGTTACTGTGGTATTTATTTCCTTTACAAAATAAATTTTAGTTGTCAATGGAATATGAAATAATATTTTCATATGCAATTATATAACTCGTTACTATTTGAAAACCGGGTCAAACTACTAGTTCCAAAGACTACAAACAGTGCATCAGATATGCATACACAGTTTGTAGAACACTTGCTATTTATTTGGACTCTTTTATGTTTTTGTCCATAAGTGTGCTTAAATTAGGCGATCCGTATTCAAGGTGCGTGCGTTTTACGTAGAAAAGATATGTAGCGATAATTTAAATCATGGTTATTTCGACAAGATCTAAGCAAAGCTGTAAGTGTTTTTTTACATAGTCATTATATAGCAAGTTGTCTACTATTTATAAGGCATGGTATCTTTACTGTTACTGGAACACCAAATACCACTTTATATGGAAGATATCGAATAGTTGGGTTTATATAAAATTAAAGATATTTAGATGTATGTGCTTGATGTAAGAAATATGGACCTGATCACATAATTGTAAGTATCAAGAAATGGGGTCGACTATGTAGTATCTAACTGTTGAGTGGATGTTAAAGTCCATGTCTATTGTTGTTAGTAGGTTTAACGTCTGCTTCCACCGAGGGTGATATCGAAGACAAATTGTCTTATTTTAATATATTCAGTGCATACACATGGGTCTTTCCTGTGTGAAGAAACCGGAATACCTGGAGTAAACCAATGTGGTTGAAAGGACGCCCCTATCTCCAAGCCACATAGACTCACACCAGGGAAACCTATACTATCGTACACAAACACGCGTCAACGTGCTTATCGTTGTTAAACCGTTCACATAATCAAGTGTTCAGAGACATGACTGTTCACATGAGATAATCGTTATCACTAGTGATACGAGTCATATACACACAAGTAAACAAGTTAGATAAGACCTTCCCTATATAACTGTTATTATCTTAGTTCAACTCCTCAATGATTAAAATCAGACATCTTGAGTTTAGTTATGTCCTGGTTGGTATAATATATCTTTTTAAATATTAACTTGAATATATCCGTCTTATATTTCCTATTCAATTATAGCTACAAAAAAATATCATTTTATAATTGGTATGAATAGAGTTTAGCGTCTCGTTTTAATCATGTCGTGCTTGGTATAATATATTTTTTTGAAATATTAAAGATACATTATGGGAGATTCGATAACGGGTTGGCAGTTCTCATTATAATAGTTAAAAACTAGATAACGTAAAGGCAATTTGCTGAAAATTTCATTCAAATTGATCAACTATGAACCCAGAACTAAGCGAATGAAATTTCCGCCTAGCCTCATTCATCATTACTAAAGTCAATACGATAAACAGCATAGTCTCAATTATCCACTTAATTGTTAAATCGTGAAGGAAAGTTATGCAGTAAATCGGCTCATAATCCACTAAAGATCGCAGACTAGCGATGCCATCTAGAGTTGATTATGGTCTGGATAGGTTAATTAATGTCTAATTAAAATAATTTAGAAAACATTTCAGGCCTAAAGAAAGACCTGCAATAGACAGATTTAGCTCTTGCATCATGTATGTTTAACTTGAATATATCCGTCTTGTCGTACCTTTTCAATTATAGCAACAAAAGATATCCTTTTAAAGGCACAGATGGGAATGGGTATGAATGGAGTTTAGCGTCTCGTCAACCAAAATACTTCGGTTATTTTGAGCATGTTGTTTTTATATGGCCATGTATGTAATGATAGAAATGTAAATAAGGTAGATTGACGCGAAAAGGTCATATTGCAGTAGATATCCTTGGATATTGCAGTAGATATCTGCAGTTATAATATATATTATTGAATGATAAAGGCTATTGCTGTACAAGAGGGATACTGTAACGGTCATGACCAGAATCTAACACGAAAGTTATCTTAACAAAAAGGAACAAGGGGTAATCGTTGGAGTAGGACGAAAAAATATCCCCGTATAAACATTGACGTGCACGGAAACTAACCATTGGCAGTTAATTCAACGAAAGAGTACGCGGAAAGGCGGTTGGTGCAAAAATGTAGGACATTAAACTCCACTCTATCCGATTTCTTATTCCCGGCTGTGAATGAAAAAAGAAACCAATTCGACATAAGTATCCCAAATACTTGCTACAAAAAAGTCAAACACAAAACGAACATTTTCGCACCTGAGAATTCAGTACACGGCAGTTTTGTAAATTTGATCGACACTAAAATGACTTTTAATTTTAGTAGAATGGAAGATCGCAACACGTATTATTCATTTTGAGTTTATATTTTTCAACGTTGTTTGTTGGAGTTATCTACCTTACATAACTAGACTATTTTAGTCAAAGGTTTGTTTGTCTGCGATATCACCTCGGTGGAAGCGGACGTAAAATACAACTAACTCATCATCATCGTAGAGAAATTGTCTGCGATATCACCCCGGTGGAAGCGGACGTTAAATAAAGCTATTTCACACATTCTAGAGAATCTCGCTAAGTCTTTTTGATATCATATATATCGAATATAAGTCGATACTGTAAAAAAAACCAATACGCTATCTACTCAACTAGTGTCGTTATATTTGTTATCAAAAATGACGAGTATAAGATTTGATTTATATCACCCAATAAACGATAAACTGGGGGAAAAAATAAAACATACTGACTTTTCGAAGGTAGACTGACACAAAAGGTCATAATCTGTCTCCCTGGATATTGCAGTAGATATCCGTTGTTAATATATTATTGGATGATAAAGGCTATTGCTATACAAGAGGGATACTGTAACGGTCATGACAAGAATCTAACACGAAAGTTATCTGAACAAAAGGGAAGCAATGAAATCTTCAACATAAAAACCCCTTATATTAATTATTCAATCCTTGACGTGGGTAAGTTAAAGAATTTAACGCAGTAATACACACCCCTTGTTAGCCAGAATATGCTTGGAAGTAGCCTAATAAACATGTCATAGATAGTGTAGCCTTACATCCATAACCCACGTTTTAATTAATAGGACTACATTGTTAAACTCACATATGACAAAATCTAGAACGATAAAGATAAAAAAAAAATACTTGAAATGTTATTGGGTTTAACGTCCTACTTTTCTGCACCAACTGGGCTAGTGAAGACGGATAAAATGACATATCTATTTTTAGATCCTGTACACGCCTGGTTGTTTTTTTTGTTTGTTTTTTTTTCGGTTTTTATATTTCATTTTCGTGCAGATGTGTTTGGTTAATATAAACTTTTTTTTATTTTCATTTTTCAAGTTCACTCAACATAAACAAGATTATTTCGGGACTGACATATTGTAAAATTTTATTTCAATATTTTCGCTTGCACTCATGAGAAATTATAAGGGAGGGGAAACCGGGGTACGTGGAGAAAACCCACAAGGCTAGGCTATTCCTTAATTAATTACAGGTGCATAAAAAAAACATTATAATACAATAGGTAGACTGCTCTTCAGTCTATTGAATTACTAGTTAAATTATTCACGCCACTGTACTAATTTCGACACTACTGATTTCATTGTTTTCTTTCTTTTTTTCATAAATTGGACCGAGAGAGCAAAACCAACGACATGATTTCGACCACCACTGCTCAAACCGTACAGTCATTACAGTGGTAGAATATACATTTGTACTAAAAGCTAAAAATAAAAAAAAAACGAAACGAAATGAAGTATTTATAATATGCGGAAGGGCTATATATTATTATACAGTCTATATATACACTAGGCTACATTGACATAGAAAATAAAAATTCCAATTCCACTTAAAACCAGAATAAACATGATTGTCATTATGTTTCATAATCCATTCTAAGAGTAATAAAACTATATGACAACAGCTTCTTAATGTCAATCAAAGAAGATTAATTATTGATAATTATGACAAAATAAAATAAATTCTAGAGAATCTTCCCCCACTTGTCCCAACAACCATTATCTGACAGTGTGATCTGTAGCATTCGGATTAACAATCATCTGCATGTCCCCTGACATTAACATGTCTGTCATGGGCTTAATGTCAGGCGTTGAAAGTTTTCACACTATTGAAAGCATAGGATATAAACATCAAAATGAGTTACAGCATATTTCCAGAGGTAATTACATCTGGGAACGTCTCAGATTTGATAGGTGGATCGCAGTGGCTCAGTAATAAAACACTGGTTCGATAACTAGGGGATAGTGCGTTCACTCTCCGACGAGCTAGATTTAATAAATCAGAAACGAAATAGTTGGGTTAATTATCAAAGAAGAGATGTGTGTAAGCTGTCCAACGGATACGAAACTTTCGACCCAAAAAGGCATTTTTTTAAAACTAAAATGATGATGGGCCAATCTTCACCCAAACCTGTCGAATAATGATAAAAAAAGGGGGCATATTAAATATACATTATGAAAGAGCTAAATCTGCCTATTGCAGGTCTTTCTTCATGTTCCTGAAGCAACGAATGCGAGTTTTACAACCTCTGGCCGTTGCTAGATTACTTCACAATTCCCGAACTACATTAGCTACATTATCTACAGACACGTGAACAGTAGCGTCCAATCAGAAGTTGTGACATGGCGACCTCCACGGAAACCACGTCATTGAACAAACCTTGCACTTTGCAACTCGATTATCACATGTAGACATTTTAGCTTAAAAGCGCGAGACTTGGTATTCGTGACGATCGCGGACTTTGATAGACTCACAAGCTGAGCTTTTACCCAATCGAAATTAGTGCCGAAATATGCAGTGTATTACGTGAAGGCCTTGATAAGATGTACGTAGTTAAAGCGAGATCAAGCCTTCTATTGAAGATGGTCTTTCTTTGGCATTAAATGTTATATAAATTATTAATTAGACATTTATTAACATGACAAAATCATAATCAACTCTCGATGTCATCGGATGGCCCCGATTTTAAGTAGATTAGAACGATTCGGCTTTTAATGATTTAATTTAAAAATGAAGAATCGTGGCTAAGACTAGAATGACCAGTACGGTGGTTACAATCAATGCACACATCTTGCCAAAACTACACCCATTGATATAAAGTAATTGCAATGAAATTTTCAATATTTTATATTCATTTTGCATTATCTATTTTTGAAATATTATAGCGAGAATGACCAGCTCTTTATCTAACTCTTATATAATGCCCCTCTTATATAACTTGCTAAAACTCGTGCCTTTCTTTTTTAATGAAATGCTAGATCTACTTGACCTGGAATGTGATCAAAATTTCAGACAGAAAACTTAATCTAGAGATACGTAAGACGGCACTAAGCACTAGGGCGCTAATTCAATCAGCCGAACATAAATGTGTCAACTGACCAGTTCAGCCAACTTTAGACATATTAGATTATGATATTAGAGTATGTCTATGGCTTATGAAAGTGTATATATGTGGAAACCATTTGCATAGGTAACGGTCTAGTGTCAGATATTTCAGTAGTGCTTAAAGGGATATTGCCAGTTATAACATAACTCTTTAAAGAGATATTGCCAGATATTTTAGTTGTGTTTAATGGGATAGTGCTAGATATTCCAATTATGTTTAAAGGGATATTGTCAAATATCCCAGCTGTGTTAAAGTGATATTTTCTGATATTTCAGTTGTGTTTAAAGATATACTAATGTCCAAAAGAAAGTATACACTGTGCATTTTGTGCTGCACCAACCAAAGTCGTTTTTCCATGGTATACGGTATTTGGGTAGAATGTTAATTTGTTTCACATTTTTATTTTGCTTAGAAATGTTGAGTATGGACGCAAGAGACAAACTCAGTAATGCTTTATCAATTTTTTTAAATCTAAACAAAACTTAATCATACTTTTAATGTGTATACTTTCTTTTGGACATCAGTATATATTGCTAGATATTCCACTAACACATAACCAACCTCTTTATGGGCAATGTATGTTTTTTTTTTGGGGGGGGGGGGGTATAATTGCTACCTGTCCTGTGCTTTTCATTACATGTCAGTACAGTCTAGCGATTATTTCATCGCCAGCATTGACATATTAATCTTTATTTTGATAAATAGACCATCGACCCATAATACAAATAATACAGTACATACATATTACATACACAATTATTCATCATGAGACAAATTGCGCACCATCTAATAGATTAACATTGAATATTTATTACGACCCGACTGCATATAAAATGTTACAGTACAATAACTTGTTATTGGACCGCTAATGTCACTTAGCAATATTGCGGTGATCTCTCAATACAGCAATTGATTACATAAATTGCGTATGCTACCGTATATGTCGCCACCTCATCCATCAAAGTCTTTCAGATTGTTTTTATAAATGAAAATATTTCCTTTGAACTTGAAGGAACCTTTTCAATATTCCATACAGTATGCTTAACACGTGACACAACTCTCAGGGTAATAAAGGGCCTTTATTCCGCGACTAATGCATGGCACATTCGATCAAGAGAGTTAACGCCAGTCTTCTCTTGTATATATTGATCGCCTATATATATTTGTACGAGCCATGTGTAATTCCTGAATGTGGCCTGATTAGCGAGCACAATTTCTCCATAAAACAACAATTTAAACGTTGGCGTATTGGCTGGGACATATTTCCCCCCTTATCAACAGGTAGTCTTAGAATGGAATTATATGTTACCTGAAGTTCGTATAGGTAAGTCTTCCTTACTTATACTCAATTAATCACACCACGTATTTGAAACACCAAGTCAGTCAAATGGAGAATTCTTGATTATTGTCTAGTTTTTTGGAGTTTGTTTTTAATTCAGCTTTCCCTGCAAGTGTGGTAGGGATTATGGTATTATAATGTGTCAAGTCGTTCGGGTGGGTGAAAAATGCCGGAACCCCCGCTGGACTGCAAATTGTGATTAGTCTAGCTTTTTTATCCAGCTTACACTGTAATTCTAGTAGGGATTATGGTATTATAACGTGTCAAGTCGTACAGACAGGGTGAAAAATGCGGGAAGCCCCGCTGGACTGCAATTTGTGATTTATCTAGATTTGTGAGGAAGGATTATGGTATTATTGTGTGTCTAGATGTCAGGATGACGTTAAAAAAGCAGATCCCTGATGAATATGCGTATTTCAAAACAAATAATAATAAGAGAGGTTGGTGAAAATGAGAGAGAGAGAGAGAATGAGAGATGGAGTTTAACGTCCACTCGACACAAACTAGGTCATTTCGGGACTAACACATGGTTCAATTTTATTTCAATATTTCGCTTGCGCGTAGGGTACTTTTGCAGTGGGAGGAAACCGGTGGACAGGCGACCCTACTCCTTGTCACGTACAACCGGGGAATCGAAACCACGCCAGTTGACCCAATGACAGACTGTATGATACAGCGCGCACGTGCTAACCATCCGGCCATCAATCTCCCCTGGTCAAAATGAAATGAAAAGAGCAGCAGGTGATCTGTTATAAATCAGTGTGATGATTAATAGGCTAATAGCTTCATATCTTTAAAGACCGGTGTTGATTGTCTTAATATTAAACATCGGGTGGGTGACAGGGCATTGAATTCCACTGTTTGTCGTTTGAACTACATACACAGTGCATCATACATTAAATTGTTGGAGTTGGGTAGGATGGAATAGTGGTTTAGAGTGCCGCGCTTAGACCTCTAGCTGGCTGGTCACCTCCGTCTTGTGGCTGTGGTTTCGATCCCTGGTGTTGGCGTATGTGGTGCCTTCCCAACCTCGTGGGTTTACTCTGAGTACTCTGGTTTCCTCTCACAGGAAAGGCCCTTGCAAGTGCGCTAAGATAACAAAAATGAAAAATACAACTTGTCTGTGATATCACCTTCGGTGAAAGCGGACGTTAAACACTCAAACCATTAAATCGTGATGTTTTTGATCTTTTAAATACACGTAATGTCTCTGTTCCGGACACTGTCTTTAAATTGCTGCTATTTTACACTTTCACAGACAGAAAAACTTTTTTTTCAAACAAATATCTTTGTATTTTATTGTTTCTGGTCATTAGAAACATCATGTTTTCAGATAAAAAAGGGTACCGGAGTTTGAATGGAAGAGCTAATTAACGCTTTGGTAACATGCCATTAAATGACAAATATAAAAAAATAATTATCCTTAATTTCATAATGAAAAGCTTCCGTGATTCGAAGTTGGGATCACCGGAAGGGCAACATGTTCAATAATTCGCAATGTGCACGATAAAATACCCTACATTAAGTTTTATCACGACTTAAGTACATTGGTCACGACAAGTCATACCTTATTCCCCCGGCCTTCTTTCCTCCAGTTAAATACCGTTAACTCTATCAGCAATGTTAGATACTACGTGTGTGTTAATACTTGCCTAAGTCAAATAATTAATGAAAATGTGTGTGTTAAAGGAGTCTGGGGCCTGTTTCACGAAATTTTAACTAAGATAAAATCCAAATTTTAGTAATTTGATTCGATAATATTAAATTGATTTTAGTCCTTAGCCAATCAAAATTGAAGTATCTACTAAAATTTGGATTTTATCTTTAGTTAAAATTTCGTGAAACAGGCCCCAGGTCTTTAACTCAATACCATCCAGTCTTCGACATTGCATACAGGACTTATTGTTCAATTTAAATCAACAATGATGATGTTATTTTACCGTGAAAAGTTTGCTTCTCATATCCAATATTTAAGACAAATTTCTTTTTAGAATTGGCACACGATGAACAGGCTAAACATATCCGATGTAGGAGAATACTATCGGTGTAGACTGGGATAACCAGACGCTAACGACTGTCATTCAATTCCGACACTTCGCGTATTTCGCCGAGCATAACTGATTAGAAATTACAGTAAAACAGACACGAATGAATGTAAATCAGTTTATATACATTCATATTATATTTGAATGGCCAAATGGTTATTGAGTCCACTGGTGTGGTTTCGATTGCCCGGTTGTACGTAACAAGGAGTAGGGTCACTTGTCCAGCCTCGTGGGTTCTCACCGGGCAGCCCGATTTCCTCCCACTGCTAAAGACCCCTATGCGCAAGCGAATTATTGAAATAAAATTGAACCATATATTAGTCCCGAAATGACCTAGTTTTTGTGTGTGTGTGTGTGTGGGTGTGTGTGCGTGTGTGTGTGTGTGTGTGTCTCTCTCTCTCTCTCTCTCTCTCTCTCTAAATAATATGAAAAGCAGGTGTTAATACTCACGATGTGGTTTGAATCAGTAGCTTGGTTCCAGTTGCATGAGACTCAAGTGAAAAAGCATCTTACTACCTGGTTTCCTGTTTCATATTTTATAACAGCGAAGAATTGATTTAGAATGCTGTTCCCTTTTCCTCTTTGTCTGTATTAAGAAACACTCTGCTGGAGAGCTTTTAAACAACCCAAATCTTTATTATTTCTACAAATGTTTAATTATGTGTTGTTTTTCTCACTTGTTATTATTGGGTCTTTTAAGTATAACGTATTGTATATTATGTATGTGTACCATTATACTTGCAAAAATGTAACGGCTATAAACGGTCGTGTTTTTTGTAACTAAAACTTAGCGGGTACCATGTCAAACCGGGTACCAAGTCAAATCGTGACACAGGACGTTAGCCATAATTAATGACTGTATTTAGAGAGTTGGGAACACTTTCCTTAATGATACATTATGTAAGATTTAGATAAAGAGCTGACCGTTCTTGCTATAATAGATAAATAGATAATGCAAAATGAATATATTGACATTTCCATTCAAATTACTTTATTCTGAGCCATGTTATCACTGTTTGTAGTTTTGACAAGATGTGTGCATTGATTGTGTATTATCGTAACCAACGTACTACTATATTTGAGACTTAGCCTCGCTCCTCCATTTTTAAATTAAATCATTAAAATGGCCGAACCGTTGTACTCTACTTAAAATCAGGGCCATCCGACACCCTATAGAGCTGATCCAGTCTTGTGATGGTAACAAATGTCTTAGTAATAATTTATATATAGAGAGAGAGAAATGGGGTTTAACGTCCACTCGACACAAACTAGGTCATTTCGGGACTAACATATGGTTTAATTTTATTTCGATAATTCGCTTGCGCGTAGGGGTCTTTAGCAGTGGGAGGAAACCGGAAATAATTTATATAACATTTATGCCTAAACGAAAGACTTGCAGTGGGCAAACTTAGCTATTGAATAATGTATCTTTAAAACTTAAATTTTCCAAGAAAGAAATCTACGGATTAAACGATTTTATCGTAGACAAGATTTCACCCATTTTTCCAATTCAGTGCAGGTTTCAAGTAAATAACAGTTTAAGTCGAGAGGGTTTAAGAATCGTTTATCCGAATCGATGTGATCTTGTGCATTTTGTGTCGACTTTGTAATCCATTGTACATTCGTGTGAATGAAGTAGGTCTATAGTATTAAAGCCGGTCATACTAAGTGTTTCGTTTGAATAGACCTGTAATGGAAACAAATTTCTGTTCCAAATTATGACTGGTCAATAGTCCGATTAACAACCAATAGCTAACTGCGTAACAATATCATTACGCTTTAAACAGAGCTCCAAATTGGACCAAATATACTTACATAACGTTACGTCATGCTGTACTTGGGATAGATTTGATTGAACGGGGAGAATAGACACACTCCCTCAAAGCTCAAGTATCAGAAGCCAAACCAGTAATGGCCGGAGAGGGATTTCTTGGGCCATTGCTTCAGGAATATGAAAGGCGGTAAACTTCTATGATTCTGGTTGAAATGGGTTTGTCTAGTGTGTGTTTTCGATTTGTGATGGGGCGCAAACTTTACAGAATAACGATGGACGCTGGTATTCTAGTTGTAGGGAATTGGCCACTGGACCAGAATATCTTGGGTTCCTATCCCGGTTTTGGCAGAGAAGGGCCTTCGAGATTATTCAAAACCGTTTGTCATGCGGCAGGGTTCAAGTCCGCGGATATGACAAGGAGAATGTGTCTACTCGTTCGAATGGGATAGAAAACCCCGAGGCCCACCCTTGTCCACATTGTCGTGCACGTCAAAGAAGCCATTGCAGTTAGAATTCGAAGAAATACCGCTGTTTGGGGATATACCCCCACCCCTCCCCTCGCATTACCCAGGAATCCTCAGCACCACATCGGTGATTGAAATTTTCTGCCGCCCTACCTCGCGCCTCTCCCACCTAACACAGGGACAATAAAAGGTAATAAGGGAATTGTTATCAAGTTATTAAAATTGCATTAACGCATTATCATCGGTAACTAATTGTAGAGAATGCGCAAAGCTTTTCTAAAACTCTCACGGGACCATAACGTAAAGTAATATTCATTAACGAGACAGCATTTCTAAGTATTCTTTAAGTAGTTTTTTGATTCCATGTAGTGTTGTTGCAACTAAAGCCCATTAAAATAAATTAAATCCAGATTACCACGATTGAATTGTTATTAATATATAAGGCAACGCTGTCACGTAGACAGTGGAAGTGCTCGATTGGTTACCCGGAAAGCTCCTAATTGAAGACATTTCTACGAATGAGTACCGTTACAAGGAATTGAGCTTCGTAAAAGTTCTACCTAGGCCCGAAACAGAATCGTTTCACTTGATTGGTTGAGATCGATCATATCCAGTTGGCTTGTAAAATGGATTGTCGCCTTTCATTGGATTGACAGAATTGAATTCTGTAACGTTCAGTCGAATATTCTCGGTGGCTAATTT